CTTACTAAATTACTTTTTAATTGTTGCAAAATGGCATATCTGGACGAGTCGTAAACGAAGTCTCAGCCCAAATATTACTGTTTTTAAAGAAATGATTAACATGAAATATAAGACTGAAAAGTGCATAGCCTTAAAAAACAACACGCAAAGGAAATTTCAGGCCAGATGGAAATTATTTATTGATAGTAAAGTATGATTTCTTATACTATATAGTTCAAATAGTTATATTATTATCAACGTTTTGTAATTATGTTATTGACACTTAATAATAGCGCTGTACTTTGTATTTAATAATGGAAAAAAAAAAAAACTCTCTTCACGGTGTTTAGAGAAGTGGTCAAACACGGCCTTTCGTGTTTGATATATTACCTCTCAAATACTTACCTGCGCAGTTGCCCCACTTCTTGTCCCGATCGTAGTTGTTTGTAATGGCACACCATGGCCGATTGTGACGAACCCTGGTACAGCTGTTGTAGCGACGACCTCTATAGATGAACGGGAATGCACAACAATAACGAGATGTTGTTCTTCTTCGGCAGGAACCTGACGACAAACAAAGTTACCATTCTGTTTATTGAAAGACACTGGCACAATCCATCTTGAAATTTTGTAAGTGGTGTTTCACGGCTTAAAAGAGCTAATGATGCAACACAAATTGCGCATCAAGAAATTCACGCTAAATTTCACAACTTCGCCGTTCAACCTTTTGAAGTAAACCTAGGATAAACCTCGCGTTGTGCTTTGACAAAGAAAGTGGTACAACATTCAGCTTTCTTAGAAGAGCTGAAGGCTTAAAATTTAAAAAATAGCGGAAACACATCTACATATTTGATTGACACCAAAAACGAATAACACGTCAACAATTCAACTCCTGGTAACAGCTAATCAATACGTAAGAACAGACAGAAACAGTGTTATCGCTGTATTACGCATTGTTACATTAACAGTGTAACTTGAACTTCCGTCTTACCGGTCACGGCATATACGTCGTTGGCCCATGGTCCCCCTTTGCCGTTCCTACATCGATTGGATCGTCCGTACTTCCTGTAGGTCAAGTGAGCTCTGGGACCTGTGGCACACCATCCCTGATGTTGAACAGCAAAAACTCTGTAACCAAACCTTAGAGCGACTAAGGCACATTTACGAATGGCCTCCTTTCTTCTTCTGTAGTATCCTCGAACTATTGGGTAACGACCGTCAACTCCTGGGATAGCTCGTCGCCCAGTGTCTTTGAAGCAACCAAGTGGCTTGACTGTTCAAATAAAACAATACATCATCATCATCGCTTTACGGTGGCCAATTCACATTATCAACCCAGTTGATAAGACCAAATTATCTTGCTATACTCCCCACCAACGCAGCACCACAGTTTCTTTAGAAACTTACCCCCTCTATTCAATTGAAAACTAAGTTTGAGAAGTAAGCGATGTTTCTTCGTTGATTCAGGTGGGACTTAACAGCCGTGAAAGTCGTAAATTATTCAGCATTCAATTCCCAACATACTTGATCTCAAAGTGTAGAAAATGTGGATTGTATGTAACCAATTCAACGACAAGTCCAATATACTTGCTTGGTCGGCCAGATTTTTTGACGACTTTTTAGCAATTGAGGAAATTCATGAACAATGAACTCTGTAAAAGATGAATACGGATCTATTTGAGCTGTCAACATTTTATCGCGTTATCCAGAATTGGAGGTTCTCCAGTCTCAGAATTGGAGTAAGATTAACCTTTTCAAAGTGTACTAATTTAATTACTAAGTCTGTAGATTGAACCGTGGTGCATGATCATTCAAATCACAGCTATTGAGCAGTACTTTCATGTGGTACTGTTTATTATGCTGTACTAGGTGGTCCTTACTTTAAAGTCTGTGGATAAAACCCTAGTGCGCGACCATTCAAAAGAAAGTTGTTGAGCAGTACTTTCATGTGGTACTGTTTATTATGCTGTGTACGAGGTGGTTCTAATCAGTTTTAAGTTTGTGGATAACACCCTAGCGTGTGACCATTCAAATGAAGGCTATTTAGCAGTACTTTCATGTGAAATTGTTTGTATTTCTACCTTTTTCCATTCAAACTTTGACATTTACATTCCGTTTTCATAGGGTGAAAGGGCTTAATCATAACAAGTAACAAGAAACGGATACTTACCACGTACACCAACTGTTACTCGTATTGGCTGACCTGAAAAAGACAATATTTTTTCAAATTTAAACTTAATTCGACATAACAAGTACATCTCAAAATAACAGCTTAGTTTAAAAATTAGATTACAAAAATGGCATAAAAAGCATGGAAGGAGACAACGACAAATCGTAACCCTAGACTCGTTTGAAACTTCCGAACCACGTTTTTTTTGTGAATTCGTAAAATTTACTGAAACAACTGAAAAATATTTTTCTCACACACCGCTGGGGTCTGGGTATAGATCATGTGACCTGTGAGGCCGGCAGTTGTTTCTGTTGCGTCCGCCATTGCCAACTTTCCCGCCCACCCATCCGAAGATTTGTTTAAGTTTTTATCCAAATTTCCAGTCTTAAACGTAATGATATTTGTATTAGCTTTAATTTTGCAATAAAGGTCAGGCAGCGGCGGTCAGCCTGACCAACAAGGGCATGTCCTTACGTTTTCCTCCCCTGCAGTAGCCCCATGGTTGGTTTCGTATGTACACGTTAGAGCCAGTTGGGCACCAGGCCCTTGGAGTTTTGGCGCATCTGTTGTAGAGGCGCCCGCGATATTTGAAAGGCAGCACACAGCATTTTCCTGAAGTGGTACGTTGATTGCATCTACCTAAACTCCGTAAAAAAAAAAGTCACGAATGACTTTTACAGTTCTGTAGTAGATAACAGTGGCAGAAATAAAAACGGCACTGAACCTCTGGCGGATTTCTCTCTTACTGTGATACAATATTTTACTGTTGACTTTTGTTAAACGAAGTAAGTGGGATTTTGTTAAAAACAGTATGGTAAGGCCTAGTATAAAATCCAATCCACCGTGGGAAAAAGATCGCAGCTTTACATTTTACTACCATAACTTGCGAGCTAACGCAGCCCACAGCCATATTTTGGCAACAATTGTCCCTGTACCAACGCTATTGTGTATGCCAGGTTTGAAGATTTTAGAACTTTTCTGTACGTTGTTATGAGCTTTGGTAAGATTTTCGTGCGTAACGAATTATGGGTTAATGCACCAGTCGCCATCTTTTTCCTACGAAGGATGGGAGAATCGCAAAAATACTTCTACACGATTCAAGTTAAAATTGAATTATTATGGATTGCAACAACTCTAGACCTTCAAGTTAACCATCCTTAAGTACCTGACTCTGTCGTTTGTAAAGAAATTCTACAAAACAAGCCTGAAAAAGCACCTGATACTCTGTAGACATCATTCGCCCACGGTCCTCCTTTACCATATCTACATCTGTTTGATCGGCCGTACTTTGCAAAGGTATATTGAGCACGCGGTCCTGAAAAACACTGGCCACCGTCTTGAACAGAAAATACTTTGTAGCCGCGATTGACGGCGACCATGGCACATCTACGAATGGCGAACTTTCGTCGCTTGTAGTTTCCTCTCAAAAGTTTACTTTTGCCTTCCAATATTGGGATGGCTCTGCGAGGAGTGTCTTTAAAGCAACCCATTCTCTGGACTGAAAGTAAATTATAACAAGAGAAATGAGATAGAGCCTATATAAAGAAATATCAGAGACAGACACACGACAGCCACGTGACAGGCATGCGACAGGTGCAACCTGGCACGCGACGGACACGCGCCAGACACACGACATGCAAGTTAAGGGAGCTATGTCGCTGACAGTGCATCTTGGAAAATTTAGGTTAACATTTTGATCATTCGTAATTTGTCTCATTTCCACCTTATCTAAACAATATATATCCACTTCTATCTCTCTTCGTTTTCTCATTATATCTTTGACATTTTTCGTCACTAGTAAGCTGTCACGTTATTCAGAGTACTTTTGGTGATTCTGTGTGTTCAACAGACTTACTTGTTATCGATGATGTTATCCTCACTGGACGCACTGCAAACAAAAAGAAGAAAAAGTTTATAGATAGCAACAATTAACTACAACAGAATGCTCTTAGAAGCGAAGCAAAGCCCGCGGGGTTTTCAGTTTAATTTCAAAAGTAATTACAAATTGCTTTTGGTTTCCATTTTCTAGAAAAATGTTTGCAATTGGTTTCAAAAACCGACAAGTGATCTACGTGATCCAACCGCTCATGGCCAATCAGCGTAAAAACGTTAATTCTTCAACCAATCAGGAAACTGTTCTTTTGAATTGGCTTATGCACGTTTTCCCGCGCTTGGCGCCGGTTGCTTATTTCTTCCTAGAGCTCTGATTGGCTTATTGCGCTATTAAGATTGGTCAGAAGCGATGACTTTGGTTTTGGCTTCACGACGGTCAAAGGGCAAAGGGCATGATCTATCTTCGTTATTTATCAAATTCATTAATAATTCATTAAGTTTAAACAAAGGGAATCATGACCACGACGGTGTTTGGACATCTGATCTTAATTGGCATAGATTTTTATGATTTTAATTCTCCATTTTCTCCTTAGTTTTAGTTTTGATTGAGAAGATTTATCAAAAACAAAAGACAGTGTTTCACCACACTACCAAACACTTCGAAGTTCGTCAAAAATACTCCGCTACGCGTCCTATTTTCAACACTCTTCTCGCTGCTCGGAAATGTGGTCAAACACGGTCTTTCGTGTTTGATATATTACTTCTTACCTCCTCGTCTGGCACACCATCCGTACAGCTTATCTTGGTCATAGTTAGGCGTAATGGCGCACCAGGGGCGTCTGGAATTAACCCTGGTACAGCGGTTGTATCGTCTGCCGCGATAAATGAAGGGGAAAACACAGCAGTTGCCAGTTGATGAGCGTGTACAAGAACCTATTTGAAAAACAAGAAGGAAAAAACCTGCCTTTAATATAACATATTTTAATCTCGGTGACAAAACCAAAACGCCAAAGAGTTGTTTGTCGAGAAGTTGTGTCGGTTGTATGTACTTAATTTTGTTCCAAACAGCGCTCTGTTGTTTCTAATAGCTTAATGACACAATTGAATCTGAGTAGTAGAAGAAGTTTAACAAGCGATGTTTAAGTTAAAGTGGACTATGCGAAACAGTATTATAGAAAGCGATGGAGGCAAGACCTTGCTATTTCAAATCAGTGATAGCATTTTTCAACGAAATTTTCCCAGGGATTTTGGGAGGGGGATTAGTAAGTTACATAAATGGCGTTGAATTTCTAGAGTTAAAGAAAGACTTCTTCCCAATCACAGGCGAGTATTTCATGAGCTATTACTCTGCACGCCAATTTCGCTACATATATCGTCGAAGTCGGCGATTTCCTTACCTCTCAGAACGTAGACATCATTCGCCCAAGGTCCTCCTTTTCCATTCCTACATCTGTTAGATCTGCCGTATTTTCTATACGTGCGATAAGCATATTTGGATGACGCACACCATCCCTGATGTTGAACCGCGAACACGCTATAACCACGCCTTTTTGCAGCAAGAGCGCATTTCCTTTTAGCGTATCGTCTCCTTCGGTAATGTCCTTTAAGAAGTCGACTTCTACCTTCCAGCGTTGATATGGCTCGTCTACCAGTGTCTTTGAAGCAACCAATGCTGATTGCTACAGGGAAAGATTTATAATGACACAATTGAATTATACAGCTCTCAGTTTCATGGCGGTTAATTTACTTTTATGTGGAAGTGATTACATTATAAATCACGTGCTGGCTGTCTGCTAAGATCTTGATGTTTTAAGAAAATAAACGCAACCGTAAAAGACCGTAAGTAATGGCCGAACAAAAAAAGTCGCCCGCCCTCAGTATTGCGCTAATGGTAGGATTCCCACGAAGTGAGGATATATACACAAACATACAAAGATGCAAAAACTAGATATCTGATCTTAATTAGCACAGATTTTCACTCCGCCTTAGTTTTAGTTTCGATTGAGAAGATATATCAAACGCGAAAGACCGTGTTTGACCACATTTCCAACTCCTCAAAGGTCGTCAAAAATACTCCGTTGCGCGTCGTATTTTCAACTCTCTTCTTTGTGTTTGGAAATGTGGTCAAATACGGTCTTTCGTGTTTGATATAATACTTGAAGTCTATGAATGAGTTAACTGTGAATAAATACAGGACTTTTTTGCACTTACCTTTCAAACCTGGAGTAATTTGTATGACCTCCGCTGTAAAAATTGGAAAATGGAATGAAAGAAAATGTTAAATGAGCATTATTCCCTTTTGTAGTAACGCAATGATTTCTCCACTGATTAATTACAATTACAGTGTGTGTAGAACAAACAATTATACGTAAAGCGTTTAACATTTAAACCATAGATGTTTAAAATAAATAACAAAAGTGAATAACAAAAAGGAGGTAAATAAAATAACAATAAAGGAAAAGGTACAATTCAATAAAAGTACGTTGAAATCCACGTTGCAAGCCAAGGAAATTTTTGTCTCAATTTTCTCAGCTCCCGACATGGCTATGAAATACACTTCGTCTAAGCCTACACCAAAAAGCCTCATTTGCAACAATTTTCTGACCTTTTGGAGGACGGACAACAGGCTTGACTGGTTTAACTGGGCGACGTCCTAATAAGGAAACAAACAGTATATGATACATTTCAAATTGATAAATTCAAGTTTGATAAATTCAACATAATGCTATTTCATGACAGTTTCAAAAAACCGACAAACGTTCTTTAAACTCGTGAAAAGGAGTCCAAGTCCTGAGAAAAGTTTCCTAAGATTCGTTTCTAAGAATCAAATAATGATAATGAAGCAAGCTTACGTTTGACGCAGTTGCCCCATTTTCTGTCTCGATCATAGTTGGGAGTGAGAGCACACCATGGTCGATTGTGATTCCTTCTTGTACAACTGTTATAACGACGGCCCTTGTAGATGAACGGGAACGAACAGCAATAACGCGAAGTTGTGCGTCTTCTGCAATTGCCTGTATAGTCATAATAACAACACATGTCAAACTGAGAGGCCAAAATTATCATAGAACATTATAGGCACGTAACGCGTGCAAAGGTCTACTCACTCTTTCGAACACATGCGCCTCTAAGTTCTAAATCATAATGACAATTTACAATTGACAAACAGAAAGCAGCAGAACGACATTTTCTGGTTTAAACCTTTAACACTAGAACACAAAACAAAATTCGCCAGACATGGAGCCCGTTTCTCGAAGGTCCTGAAAAGTTTTC